CAAATAAAAGCATAAACAAAGATAATCTTTAATCAATACGAGTGGTTGTTCCAAAAATTTGGACCAAAATTAATGATTAAAATGGAAAAAATAACTTATAAAATCAACCTGAAAAAAACGTTCGAAAAAACAACCGTCACCAAGAAAAGTTCGAAATAGAATGACGAGGACAAACGATTTTGACGACCGTTGAATAGAACTTTTGAAACTTGCATTCTGATTGGACGAAAGAAAAGTATAGAAAATAGTTAGCATTTGAATATGCGCAAAAGATCTTTTGTCGAACTTTAGAATTTTTTGAAAAAANCGAGTGGTTGTTCCAAAAATTTGGACCAAAATTAATGATTAAAATGGAAAAAATAACTTATAAAATCAACCTGAAAAAAACGTTCGAAAAAACAACCGTCACCAAGAAAAGTTCGAAATAGAATGACGAGGACAAACGATTTTGACGACCGTTGAATAGAACTTTTGAAACTTGCATTCTGATTGGACGAAAGAAAAATATATAGAAAATAGTTAGCATTTGAATATGCGCAAAAGATCTTTTGTCGAACTTTAGAATTTTTTGAAAAAAAAGAATGCATTATTATTTTCCATAGACTTAACATTGACAAAAATTAATTTAATTATCATTTTTTCCAACTTGTGAATTGATGTATTTTAGAGATGATGAATCCTTTTGAATCGATGGACCACATAATAAAAATATTTTCAATTCCAAAAAGAACCAAGAGTGAATTAGGAGATATGTTNAAAGAAAAGTATAGAAAATAGTTAGCATTTGAATATGCGCAAAAGATCATTTGTCGAACTATGGAATTTTTTGAAAAAAAAGAATGCATTATTATTTTCCATAGACTTAACATTGACAAAAATTAATTTAATTATCATTTTTTCCAACTTGTGAATTGATGTATTTTAGAGATGATGAATCCTTTTGAATCGATGGACCACATAATAAAAATATTTTCAATTCCAAAAAGAACCAAGAGTGAATTAGGAGATATGTTTGACAACTTGTTACATATCAAAGATTCCATTCCAATTATCGATTATAACCAAAAAAATTTACATTTTTATCATTAGCATCAATTCTAATTAATTTTCGTGATAAAATCTCATCGGAATCACTGTCGGATACATTTTTTTAGCAGAATTACCGAATTCCATCATTCGATTGTTTTCACTTTTCAATTTTGAATAGTGTTAACCAACGTTGAAGAATGTTATTCAAAATTGGAGAGTATTGATTGGAGAGCACTCTCCAATTTTGAGCAATGCTTACCAACGTTGAACAGTGCTCTCCACAATGCTCTCCAAATTTGGCTAACACTCTTCAAAGTTGGTAAACACTGCGCAAAATTGAAGGAAAAAACCTTCAATTTTGGAGAGTATTCTCCTTACTTTTTTTTGTGTGNACATTTTTTTAGCAGAATTACCGAATTCCATCATTCGATTGTTTTCACTTTTCAATTTTGAATAGTGTTAACCAACGTTGAAGAATGTTATTCAAAATTGGAGAGTATTGATTGGAGAGCACTCTCCAATTTTGAGCAATGCTTACCAACGTTGAACAGTGCTCTCCACAATGCTCTCCAAATTTGGCTAACACTCTTCAAAGTTGGTAAACACTGCGCAAAATTGAAGGAAAAAACCTTCAATTTTGGAGAGTATTCTCCTTACTTTTTTTTGTGTGATATGAATGCGTGTTCTTTCGAATCGAACGATAAACAAAAAAATGAATCTTACGCGTAGAATATAATCTAACGCCATCTAATGATTCAAATTCTTATCAAAATAATTCCTGATTCTAAAACATTCGCGAATTCATAAACATTCGAATTTTATTTGATCATCAAAAAAAGAGAAAACAAAGTTTGGAAAAAAATAAAGTTTGGTTTAAAAAATATTTTATTAATTTTTACTTTTGGTGATTTAAAACAACAACGCCGGTTTTTCCGGTTAATATTTTCCATGACAACCAACCAACCATATCAACTCAAATGAAAAAAAACAATCATTATCTATAGAAATCTATATAAATGATTTATGTAAAAAAAAAGAAGAAAAAAAACTGCTATCCAAAAGAAAAAACCTAAATAAATAAATAATGTTTCGACAAAATAGAGCAAAACAACATTATTCTGATCAGTAAAATTCTTGATTCTTTTCTTTTCTTTTTGAAGTGATTTGATTTTTGAAAAATTGAAAAAAATGTTTAATCGAAAAAAACATCTAACCGAATCATTATCATCAATATTTTTTCTATCAATGATTTTTATTGTATTTTTATTCGAAGTATTCATTATACGGCCATATTTATTGGAAAATGATCAATCAAAAAATTCAATTATGATTATTAATTTTCATTTATTAATGGCTATAATTATATTTATAAATACATGTTTAAATCTTTATTTGGTTATTAATACGGATACATCGATTGATAGTATTGTAAATTCAAATATCAACAACACTAATACCATCAACAATACAACAGCATTACCATTATCAACATCATCATCATCATTATCATCACAATGGAATTATTGTTATATCTGTGAAGCTAATATACCACCACGTGCATTTCATTGTAAACAATGTAATCGTTGTATATTACGTCGTGATCATCATTGTGTTTTTACTTGTAAGTTTTTTTGTTTCGCAATAAATTCAATTTTTTAAATGATTTTTCTTTATTTCTTCTTCATCAAAAAGCCTGCTGTATTGGTTATAAAAATTACAAGTAAGTTTCTTTTATTGTAATTTTCTTTTGGACAGTTATAAGTTTTTTTTTATGTTGTTTTTTTTATTACAGATATTTTATGGGCCTATTATTCAATGTTGGTTTTGGTTGTATTTATGCAATATTAATACATTGGCATTATATTTGGATGAATATAAAACATCTTGGTTGGTGGTCATTAGGTGTACATTCAGTACCATTAGGTTTTTATTTAGCTGGTTGGATTGATTTTTGGACAACTTGTTGTAATATGATATCAATGTTATGTATTGTTGGTGCTATATTTGCAACCGGTTTATTTATCTATCATTTTCATTTATTATGTATTAATCAAACAACATATGAAAAAGCTAATCAAATTAATGATTATAATCTAAATGATTGGCGAAAAAATCTTTATGAAACATTAGGTAATCGTTGGTTTTTAACAATATTTTTATCACCATTAATTAAAACAAATCTACCTGGTGATGGTATAAAATTTATAACAAACAGGGAAAAATATTTACAAAATAAACAAATTTAAATTTTAAAATAGAAATTTTTATTATTTTTTCTTTTGTATTTTTTCAATATCTTGTCGGCTTAAATATTGTACACCATTACGATATTTTCCCAATTGATAATCCATTCCACGTACTTCATTTAAACCTTTTTTCTTTGTTGATAATTTTTGGCTTTTTCGATTTTTTGTTTTTCCTGATCGATTTTGTTGTTGTTGTTGTTGTTGTTGTTCACGTTCTTTTTGTTTACGTTCACGTATTTCTTGTAAATGTTGTTGAATATTTTTACCACGCTGTTTTTTAGGTTTTGCACCTAATCGTATTGCTAATTCACGTTTAGCAGTACGTTTATCTTTATCGGAAAATCCTTTAATACCTAATTGAAAAACTTCATGACGTGCTTTTTCCAGATCAAATTCATCTGGATCAAGCTTTTTGTTTTTTTGGTTATTTTTAGTTTTAAAATTTTAAAATTTAAATTAAATTTACCTTTCTTTTTGATTGAAATTTATGATTTTTATTTTGAAAATTTCTTCGGGACATGATTAAATTTACAAACATCAAAAAATCAACACGTGAATTAAAACCAAAACACCAAACGATGGACGAATTAATCGATACAATCAAAAAAAAAATTATTTTTTCCAAATGCAACATTAGATGGCAGCATTGGTTTCATAAAATTTGATTTAAAAAAAAATTCTGTATATATAAAGCGCGCGCGCAAGCATTCTTTCATCCGCGACCGGCAATTATTCAATGATGAATCAAATCAAATCAAAAGAAGAATATAGGGAGGATCCTTTTCCCCGAAAACACACACACATCGAATCGGAGCAAACCATTCTTTTTATTTTTTACCCGAACTAACACTGAATGACTACTGCTGGGTATAATTGTGTATTTTTTTTGTGGATTCTTTCTTTTTCTGTTTGATTTGATCCGATGATGATCAAACTAGAACAGACGCCAGTCATTTTTTTGATAGTGATGTTGCGTTGTATTTTCTGGTTCTATTTGGTGGTTAGAGGTAAATAAAAAAAATCGAGCCGATTGCAATAGCAATTTTGCGGGGAGAGAGAGAGATGAGAGAGAATACAACAAGAAGACAATAATAATAATAATAACCAGAAATGAAAAATGAAGAGAGCCATCATCATCATCATCAACATCATGCTATTGTAATATCGTCATGATGGTAAGTCGTTATTTTCTGTTTTTTCTGCTGCTGTTGTTGCCCGATGATAATGATAATGATGATATTTCGATGGTTTGGTTGTGGGGTAAACAACAACAACAGCATTGTATTTTTATTGAATTTTTTCATTTAAAAAAAAACCCCATTATGGTTCGGTTTTTTTGGTTTCTAGTTTTAAGAAAAGTTTAATAAACAAAACAAGTTAAAATCCAACCAACATTGGACATCATTTGTGTGCTGATTGTTGCGGATAGTGACGTTTTACGGTAGCCAAACGAAAAACAACAACAACAAAAATCTTAGATAATCAACAAACAACAATCCGAATTCAGAAGATTTTAAAAAAAGATTTAAAGATTAGCTGCTGCCTCTGTGTATTTTAAAGATAAAATTTTACTGTAATGAAAAAAAAACCTGAAGCTTCGATAATTTCATTCATCCTGTGTGTCAGTCAGTCAGTCAGTCATTTAGTCAGTTAATCTCGACATATGATGCGAATGAAATCTTTGAATGTCAAACAGCGACAACGAAGGATTAAAAGATTGAAATATCAAAATTCAACAAAAAACAAAGGTATGTTGGTTTGAAAAAATTTGATTTGAAAAAAATTTCTATTTTCATTTTTTTTTCTATTTAGATGATCATAACAGTAAACAAGTAAACATTTTTTTGGCTGCAACAAATGTTGCTGCCCTAATCAACCACACCACCACCACCAAACATTATCATCAAAAACGTCTCAAATATCAATCAATTAATCAATGAGATAATAGTTTTTACTATATCTACCTTGTTGTTGGTATCTATCTTTCAAAATCAAAAAATCAATCAATCAATCATCAACCATCGTAATATTTGATAATTTCTTTTTTCGAATCTTCATTCATTCATTTATCGTATGTTTTGTGGATGCCAAATCAGAAAAACCACAAACACATAAACAAACCGCAAAAGTAAACAACGTAAACAACAAACATTCATTCATTCATTCAATCAATCAATTTTTTTTTTGTTTTGTTTTGGTGGATGATATTTTTCGATCCAATGGTGGTAAGTTTGTTTTGTTTTTGTTTTTGTTTTGTTTGATGACAATCGATTGTTTGACAATCGATTCGAATCTTATCCGATTCGAATTCGAATTCGAATATTTCCTCTTAATATTATTTTTTCGTCATTCGAAAGACATGAAAACAAAAACAAATCATGAAAATAAAGGATTTTTTCTTTCTTTTTTCTTTTTTTCTTTTCGTTTCTTCGTAACAAGAAAAATAAATTAATATTTGCGTGCATCATCATCATCGTAATCATCATCATTTTAAGAAAATTTCGTTCAATCAAATGCAGGTGTGTGTGTGCGGTTTGCGTGTCTGTTTTTTTTTGTGTCTGATAATGAGATGATGATTATTATTCGAAAACAAGAAGCGGAACAGGGTGCAATTCTGATCAACAAATTCAAATTCAAATTATCATCTTTTTCAAATTCAGTTTTTTTTGTTGTTCAACCAAACAAACAAACAATCACCAACACAACCAGAAGATAAAAAATAGACATCCATTTTTTTACCAATTTGAATGATAATGATGATGATAATGTCCATGTCGAATGTTTTTTCTTCATTTCATTCTCCCCTCTTTTACTCATTTATTATTCATTATTCCATATTGTCCATTCGAACAACAAAAAAAACGATGGCTATTTTTGGGGTTTGCTTTTTTTTGGTGATTACACGCAGAGGGAGAGAGAATTCCTATGGTGATGATAATAACCATGACAATCTTAATTTATCATCTCTATTTTTTTATATATGATGCTACCTGCAATACACATTTTGTTCTTGTTGTTGTTGTTTGTTGAAAAAAAATTCAAACATTTTTTTTTTTTTAAAAGCCAACAGCAGCTATAAACGAATGAAATGAATTCATCCATGAAAATAAACAATTCATTCATTCATTCATCCATTCAATCAACGATGATGATGATGATGATGATACCTGTTGTTTTTTTTTCAATTTTGGCGGCCACCACCACCATTATTATCATCATCAGATGATACAAACAAACATTAAATAATGACAGATGTTTTTGTTTCTGTTTTTTTTCTGTTCGGTTTTGTTTGCCCTTGTTGATTGATAATGAATGAATGAATGTGGAATGTGGAATGTTGAATAAACTATTTCGATCGACTACTGTGTGTGTGTCTGTGTATTTGGTGAAAAATTGACTTAGCATCAATTCAATCAAGTTAAGAAATGTTTAAAAGGACATTCTCTTTTTTCTATTGTTTTTTTGTTTCGATCCGTATCAATTCTCTCTCTCCCTCTCTTCATTGTTTTATTTAAAGGTTGAATTTTTTTTAAACAAAAAAAAACGAATGATAAGAGACAGAGATAATGAAATAGTAAATTATAATAGTTTCTTTCTCTATCAGATTTTCAGTTTTTCTATCTATCAATTTATCGAAAAAAATGAGGGGGGAGAGAGAATGAAATGAAATGAATAATTTTTTTTTCCTGTAGAAAAAAAAACTTTATTCAAAGCCATATTGGATCGATTGAATTGATTGATTGATTGATTGATTAATAAGATGAACAATTTTTTTATTGTTTTAAGCTTTTTTTAGAAAAAAAAATCAATCAAACGATTCGATTGTCATCATTATCATCATTGATTATCCATATCAACAGGTAGGTTTTATTGAAATAAGCAAAAAAAAAACGAAAAAAAAAATCAGCAACAAGTGATTTTTACCTGTTGTTGTTGTTGAAAAAAAAGTTACAGGCAATTGACGCTTGTCAAAAATTTCTCTCTCTCTCTCTCTCCCCCTCAACAGAAAAAAAATCTGATAAAAAAATATCATTTTCAAAAAAAAACTATTACAGTTACTCTACGTTTGTCGTTTGTCATTTGTTTTTTGTTTTTTTTTTTGCATAACCTAAATCTTTTATCTATTTATTTGTTTTGACTTTTTGCTACCTCAAATTGTTTTTTATTAATGTTTACTTTTTCTTTTTCTTTTTTGCTTTCAGATTCATTATCAACTTTGAAAATTTTTGAAAAAAAAATGAAGAATTCTGGTCAATCACACAGGCAACAATAACAATGTGAAATCTTTTTTTATTGATTTTCTTCTTCTTCAATTTTCTTTGGTTATTTGTGATATTTTTTGATTGTTAAACAAAACAAAGTTACAAAAGTGTATCCATTAAGACAATTTGGTAATTTTTTTCAAAATTTTCGACCACATTCTAGTCTATCTGATCTCAATCATCAACAACAACAACAACAAAATAATCATTATCATCATCACCGTTTTCATCATCATCATCATCAACAACATTTTCATTATCCTTATCAACGACAATTATCACCATCAATACGTTTATTACAATCAGAACAGAATCTTATTTCTAAAACAGCCCAAAATGATGATGATTATCAATCAAACCAAACACGAACAGCAAAATCATTACGTTCAAAATCATTTTCAATGTTTTATTGTAGTCTAGGTAATCATCGTTCAATGGATCAGAATTTGAATTCAAATGAATTAACAGAATGGTTACGTTTTCAACCTGTTTCAATATTACAATTAGATCAACCGGATCGTATTGTTTTATTTATTGCCGGTAAGTTTTTTTTATTTAAATTTTTACTTACTTTTTATTATTATATAAACTATATGATCAGATGATGATTTATAAGATAAATAACCATCATAAAAATTATCACATAATAATATTATTTTGTTTTATAATGATGATTACAAAAGTTCAAGAGAAAGGTTATTTTATTAATAATAATAATAATTTTTTATTATTAACATTTTTAATAACAAGTTTTTAACATTGCCAAACAACAATCAATGTGTTAAATGACAGTTAATATATTGACAATTGATTTCATTGCTAACGGATGTTGCAAGCTAGAAACAGAAAACAAACTGAAAGTTGTCAATATTTAATCAGTATAGTTATGTGGTGTTGGTGAACATAGTTCAGACATATAGGATTTGTTGTTGTTATTTGTTGTTATTATCATTTGGTTGCTGTTTAACAATTCTATCACCCAAAACAAACAAACAAATTGAATTTCTGAATAATTCATTAACAATATTAATAATAATAATAATAGATGATGATGATGGTGATGATGGTAATGATGATTGCCATGATACGTGTTAAAATTAATAATCAAAAAAAAAGAAAAAATTTGATAAAAAATGATAATAAAATGTCAAACACACACACACACGCACATAGAGATCCTGATCAGATTTACTGATTTCAATCAGATTCAACCAAATCAATTTTTTTTATTACAACAATATTAATAATGGTGGTGATGATGATATCATCTTTTTTTTCTTTCACCTTTCTTTATTTTGTTTCGATGATGATGATAATTTAATACATACAAAAAAATATTTAGTGATAAGATTTGTGATAAGATGATCCTCATTGCATTTTGTTTTTTTGCTTTGTTGTTCTTTGAAAATATGTGATATAAAATTTGTTTTGTTTTCTATCCATTTTGTTACTGATGAAATGATGAAATGATGATGTTATTTGTTATTGGTGATAGTGTTTATTATAATAATAACTTATTATTATTATTATTATGGGCAATGTAGCCACCAATTTTGGTAAAAGATCATTACATGAAAATTATATTTCAGCTATAACATATTTATTATCCCATCATCATTGTAATCATCATCATCATAACAGTTGTTTAAGAATGTGGAATTTTTTAAAACGTATCGATGATGATGATAAATCATCATCGATAAATAATTCAACACAACGATTCGTTAATAAAAATAATGATAATCAAAAATATTTTCATTTAAATAAATTTCAAACTTTAAATTATAATAATAATAATAATAATAATGATAATAATTCATCATCATCATCACCACCGGAATTTTTTGGTATTAAATTAAATTCAGTGAAAAAATCTTCAAATGTTCATAAAAATGGTAAATGAATTTTTGTTTTTTTTTAAATAATAAAGTGAAGTTGAGCAAACAAATTGTTCTTTAATGATTTATTTAGTCAAGTTAGGTTATCCACCCAAACCCTAAATCACATTAATCAACCTAACCTAACCTTAATCAGGTTATAAATTGTAAACGATGACCAAAAGATGGCGACTTGTATGACTAATTTGAATTTTTTCGAAATTTTTTAATTTGACATTCAAAAAGAATTTAATTACAAATCAAATGAATCGAATATTCATTTCATTTAAAGCGTAGGTAGATTTTGTGTGTGTGTGTTTGTAAAAAAAAGAATTACTTTTTTTGGTCATTATAACACACACACCAGGTAAATAAGTATGCTATTCTGCTTTCTCTTTGTGTATTTTTGTTTGAACTTTACCTTGAATTCAAATAATTTTTTTGGAGGCAAGGTGTTTTATTTTATTTTCGAAATTATTAATTTGTTGTTGTTGTTGTTTAGCATCAGTTTTTTATTCAGTTTTGTTTCGCTTTTCAATTTTTAATTTTCATTTTGCCGAAATTGTCCTTGTTTGTTGTTTGATCTCGAAAACGAAATCTGTTTTCTTGTCTTCGATTTCCATTTGATCGAATGGAATCTTTGCCTGAAAATAAAAATTTAAATTTTTATTGATTTGTCGTCGTTTTATATCGATTAATTTGTTTTGAGAAACTTTTTCTTTGAAAAACTTTGAAACAAAAAAAAATCTCACTTTTACTGATTTACCTTAAATGGTAATTCCTGTTGATGTGATTTTCCATCATCATCATCATCATCAACAACATTGTTTGACTGTTTATGGTATTTTGTGTGTGTCTACGAAGACGATGATAACATAACATTGGATGTTTGTTGTTGTTTGATGTCGATGTTGTCGATGATGACCATAATTGGAAATTGATCAACCACTTTCCCCATTATTATTATTATTATCATCGTTGTTGTTTTTTATTATTGTTTTTTTTCCAATGAAACGTGAAACATTTTTTTGTTTTGTTTTTGCGCTAAATTTTTTTTGCGTTGGTTGAATTCCTTTAGTTAAAAATCTACCTTTATCAAAAAAAAAAATGTTCTATAAATATTCACCAGGTAAACCTATAGGTGGCATGTGTGTGTATTTTCAAATAATTTTTCCTTTTTTCAAGATCACATTATTATCATTGATGATAATTTGATGCGGAAAAAATCTGCCAAAAAAAACCAAAAACTAAAACATATGGAACAATCAATAAATGAATGAAAAATTTGAATTGAATCAGCGAATTGCTCGTGCAAAATCAAGGCGGCCATAACCATTCCATTTTTGTTTTCGGCCTACAACAACAACAACAACAATAATAATTTTTTTCCCTCAAATACCACGATCATTGTTTGCTGGGGATGATGATAATAATAATAATTACCTTTTGGATAAAACGACGTTGTTGTTGTTGTTGTTTTTTCGTGTAAATGATATGCGTGTTTTCCATCAAGCAATCAAGCATCAATCGATCGATTTTTTTGCATTTAAAATAGTTCAATTTGCACATCCATTATTGAGATGTTTTTTCTCCTTTCCTCCCCCTCACACTATTTTGTTTTAGTTCTTTTTTTGACAAATATGTGTGAGAAAATGGCAGTTTTTCCCCCCACAGTAGACATGTGTTGTTGTTGTACAACAACACATGCAAATTGATAATCTAATTTGATTGGTGTGATAATAATACTGTAATGATAAAATTGATGTTTCTATAGCAAAAGATGAAATAACATGACATTTTCTTTTTTTTTCTCTCTCTCTCTTTTACACTTCTACTATTTATGCATCTACATTAGGATGTCTATTAAAAAAAACTTGTTGAATGTTGTTGTTGTTGTTGTTTTAGTTGATATTGATCACATAACAACAACAACAAAAATCATCTTGTAATTTCAATGTGTCACACACACACAAACACACACTTTTGATATATGCAACAAGTGGTATGGTGGTGTTTGTGTTTATTATTATTTATTGGGATGCTAGGAATTCTTTCTTTTATTTCTATTCGATTGATTGATTGATCAGAAAAAAGATTTTTTTTTTTTTGGATTTTCTTCTTCTTTGAAACTTTCTCTTTCATTTCACAATAAACATCCAATAAAATCAATGCAAAATAGAAAAATTGACCAAATATAAACGAAACAACGAAAGCGAATAATCTTTTGTTGATTGTGGTAGTAGTTTTTTTTTTGTTTCTCTTTTTCTCAATTTGATTGATGCGGCAGTTTTTTGTTTGTTTTGTTTAAGAAAATCGATGGCCATTTTTCTGTTTTCTGTTTTGGTTAATCCATGGTTGTAACAAAATCCAATGATAATGATGTGTGTGTGTGTGTGGTAACTCCAACTAATAAATTCCAGACGAAGAAAAACCAAAACCAAGAAAAGAATTTTGTTTTTTGTGAATGAATGAAATTTTTCTTGTGAATGAAAATCACAACCCACACACACACAACAGGAAAAAATTTTTTTTGACCATCAAAGGATGTGTATGATGATGATGAACATCATTACCATTGTCAATGATGATCATCATCATTTACAACTTGATTTTTGATTGAATTCCAAAAAAAAAAGTTTGTTTTAATGATCATCAATTCACTATCGTCGTAGTCGTCGTTGTCGTTTGTTTGTTTAAAATTTTTTTTTCTTGAATGTTTTGTGTGTCATCAATCAGGAAAAAAATTGTTATTGTGTGTGTGTATGTCGTGATTATCTTGATTCTTAATCTATACTGATAAATCAGATTGGATTTATTGATTTTTCATACTCATTTTTTTCATTATTATTATTATTATCTCCATCAATCAATCAACCAAATCAATCAATTAATTAATTAATTGCATCGATATTACTTAAACTAACAAAAATCAGAAAAAAAATTTAAAAAATATCCCAAATATTTTTGTTTTTTGTGTTGTTTGAGCGTGTGTGTGCTTGTACGGGTGTTTTTGGTTTTGAAAAATTTTGAAATTTTTTGGTTTTGAAAATCCATTTTTGTAATCCAAATTGATAAATAAAAATGGAATATTATGAACATCATCACCATCATCATCATCATCAACAACAACAATATGATCATAATATGAATATGGAAGAAGCAGTAAAAGAATATGAAACTAGTGTTTATAAACATAAAGGCGTGTATCCTTATGTCATTCATTTAACCCACCATTCTATCATCAGATATTTATTGAATATTTCGATGTTTTTGAATTTTGAATTTTTTTAAATCTAATTTTTTTTCAATTTAGATGAAAGAGATGCAATACAGAAGAAAACATTTACCAAATGGGTTAATAAACATCTAATTAAAGTAAGTTTTTAAAGTTTTTGCCATGATTCTTTGTCATTTATCATTATTTTTTCCTCTAAAAATTGCTTGTTCCCTTTGTTATTAATTGATTAATTTAATTAACCCTTAATTGAGAAATTCTTCTTATATATTCTTTATCTTTTTCTGTGTTAAAAGTCTTATCTATCTATATCATCATCTTCATCTACATCATCATCTTTAATCAATTTCTGTGATAATCATCATACTACTAATAGAATTAATGTAATTTTTTTTTCACTAATTCAACTAACTTTACTTTGCTTGATTTCATTTTTGCTGTTCAATGTTGCTAATTTTTTCGTTTTGAATTTCTGTTTTTTCCATCAACCAACCAACCAACCAACTAAAAAAAAAGGTAACCAAAGGTGTTGTCGATCTATTCGAAGATATACGTGATGGTAATAATCTAATATCATTACTGGAAGTATTATCGGGTGAAACATTACCAAGAGAAAAAGGAAAATTACGTGTTCATCATTTACAAAATGTTCGAACATGTTTGAAATTTTTGGAAAATCGTAAAGTAAGTTTTTCGGAAAATTTTTCTTTTATTTCCGGAAAATTTTTTCAAAAAAAAATTTAATAATTTCTTCCTTTTAAACTATAGATAAAACTTGTAAATATTCGTGCCGATGATATTGTTGATGGTAATCCTAAATTAACATTGGGTTTGATTTGGACAATTATTTTGCATTTCCAAGTATGGTTTTTCCCCCTCCGAAATAATCAATAATATAATTAATTTTTTTTCAAAATTTAGCTATCGGATCTAATCATTTATGATGATACAATATCATTTAAAGAAGCATTATTAAAATGGGCTAGAAAAACAACACAAGGTTATCCAGGTGTTAATGTTACAGATTTTACACATAGCTGGAAAGATGGTTTAGCATTCAATGCTATTTTACATCGTAATCGGTATGAATTTTATGAAAAAATTTTTTAACCAAAAAAAAACTAATAATGATTACACACACACACAGACCGGATCTACTTGATTATCGTTCATGTCGTTCACGAACGGCAATTGAAAATTTGGACAATGCATTTACAATTGCTGAAAATGATTTAGGTGTAACAAAATTATTGGATCCAGAAGATGTTTATTGTTCACAACCGGATGAAAAATCCTTAATAACATATATATCATCATTATATGAATTATTTCCCGAACCACCAGAAAATAATCCATTATTAGATAAAGAACGTTTGAAACGTATTGATGAATATAAAACAGCTGCAAAACGTTTAGTTAAATGGATTGATGAAAGTTGCCATCGATTAAGTGATCGTACATTTAGTCCATCATTGAATGAAATGAAAAGAATTCAAGAAGAACTGTATCGTTTTCGTTCAGAAGAATTACCACCACGTTTCAAAGATAAACAACATTTATGTGAATCATATAAACAAATTCTTGAAATGGCATTAGCATTACCAGTACGTATTGATGATGAATTAAAACCAGAAAGTATTGAACGACAATGGAAAGAAATGCTATTAGCTTATCAAGAACGTGATCGTGATATTAAAGATTATATGTTACGATTAGAAGATCTAGAACATTTGGCTAATAAATTACGAAAAAATATTCGTGAATGTGACCGTAAACTTACTGATATTGAATATGCAATTGTTGATCTACAAAAACGTATACAACATTCCACCGATTTACCAATTGAACAAACAATCGAACAAATACAAAAAGAGCTTAAATTTGAAGAAAAACGTTTAAATACAATGATTAATGATGCAAATTATTTAATTGATCAACATTATCCAGAAGCAAAAGAACTTTATGAACAAGTAAAATTATTATTGGAAAGATATCAAACATTAAATATGGAATTTAATGAACGAATATTTGGTGCATTACAAGATAAATCCATACAACAAATTCATCAAGTATTTGCTGATTATGTTTCAGCATTATTAGCTAAATTACGTGAACAGGAAAAGAAAATTTTACGAAAATTACAAGAACCAATACCAAGAAATATTCAGGATATTGATCGATTGATTGTTGAACATAAAGAATTTGAAATTGAAACCAGACAATTTGAATCAGATGTTGAAAAGGTGAAACGTGAATATGCAAAATTACCAACTCGAAATGCTGGATCACAATCAAAATTTGAAACATTAATTGAATTATGGCAAAATATATGGAAATATTCGGATAGTTATGTTCAACAATTGGATGCTATACGAATAATTTTGTTGGATATTCAGGATGCAACAAATATGATTTGTGAATTGGAACGTGGATTATCCGAATCACCTGATATGCCTGCCGATATTGAACATGCACGAATAATATTCGATGACATACGTCGTATTCATTCCAAAGTTATTAAACACCAAAGTAGTTTTGAAAAATTATTATCAAATGTATCGAAAATTCGTAATATTGTTGAACGTAATCGACCACAAAGACCGGGTAAACATCCTGATATTGATCAACTTGAATCGGATGTTAAAATATTAAATCGAAGATGGGAAGATATTGCAACACAATCAATGGAAAGGTAATGTTATTTTGTTTTGTTTTTGTAATCAAAAATGCGTAATACGATTTTTTTGTTATTTCAGAATTAAATCATTGGAAACCTGTACAGAATTATTGAATGTTTATCGTACAAAAATGTGTAAAGAACAGGAATGGCTAAAACAAATGAATCATAATGTCGATGATTTTGTACGTCGTAAAGAGTTGAAAAATGCCAAGGTAAAAAATACTTGATAAAATTTTGTTGAAAAAAACATGTTGAATTTTTTTCTTTCTTTAAAAACTTTTAGCAACTTTATGAAGAAGCATCATCGCATAAAATATCGATCGAAGATACAAATCATTTAGGTGTTCGATTTATGAAAGAAGCAAAAATTTATGATTTAAAATTGAAAAATTATCGTGAAAAAATTGATGAATATCATCATACAGGTATTGATGCTACAACAAAACGATCAAAAATTATAAGCGGAATCGATTGTGTTGAACAAGAACTAAAACAACTCAATAATGATTATGCTGAACTTTTGAATCGTATACTTGGCCTTTTGAATCAATTACAAGATGATGATTCAAAATTAAGAGAATTTGTAAGTTTAAAAATCAATCAAATTTATCATTTTTTTTTTGTTTTGTTTTAATTTTTGATATAAAATTTTCACTTATCCTTTATTCTTAATCGTTTTTTAAAATTCTCTAATCTAATTAATCTTGATAATTAATCAATCAATTTAGCCAACAACTGTTACTATCAAAACTTTTGAACAATTTCCAGGTATATTTATTTCTCTAATTTATTTATTTTTTAAAATCTATCTGAAATTCTACTTTTTTTTATATCTCTTTTTTTTTCTTTCGTTTTTTTTTCCGAAAAATAACCAAATTTTCTACTAAAATTCCTGTTAAAAAGTTGATGAAATTGATAATAATCAATTCAATAATAATAATAATACAACTACGACAACAATTTCATTTACTAATCATCATCAACATCCATTAACATTAAAAAAATATCAACAAAAAATAACAACAGCAACTGTTTCAAATATACCAATCAATGAACAACATGAATGTAAAAATTTAAATATTTCAACATTAAATCTGATACAAGATTTTGAATCAAAAAAATTAAAAGATAATAACGATAACGATGATAATGATTTAACCGAAATAATTGTCAATCGTATCTATGAAACTGATGTACAGAATAAAACATTTATATTGAGAAAATCTTCTCGTAGTCATATTGATAATGTGAAAACTGAAGAATCAATGATGGAAGATGATAATGATGATTACAAACAAATTGATGATATTGTTATGATTGATCGATTGGAACCAATCGTACGATTATCATGTTCATCTGATGTTCAACATTATCATCCACATATAAGTCGTGCATTTACTTCAAATGATGATGATGCTAATGATAATGATGATGATGATTATCAAATGAATTTACCATCATCTCATCATCATCATAAAGATAATGATGATCCACAAATACAAATCATATCCGAAAACATTCCATTTAATGTGATAAACAATATAACAACAACAACCACATCAACAAGAATGATGATGATGACGACAAAACCATTATATTCTGCAAATAATGATAATCATTTTAATAAAAATTTGTGTTCAACAACTAATAATAATTCTGCTATTACTAGTTCTACTATTACATCTTATCATTTATCTGATTCTTTACCTATTGATGATACTATTTCTATTGAATCATTTCCATTATTAACAAATGATGATAGTGATAAAAATAATAATAATAATAATAATGTTTCATTACAAACAATAATGGAATTTAATCCTAATGTTGTTCAGGTGAGAAATTAACCCTAATTAATAATAATTTCCCTAAATCCTTTTTTTTGTCTTAAATCTGTCCTGGTTGTTTGATTTTTTTTGGTTGTTGAATTAATTTTTTAAACAAATTTCATAATTTTTCTCTTCACACAATAGCATGAATTGGCTGATGAATTTTTACGTTGGTTAAGTCAAAAAGAAAAAATCATTTTGAAATTGGAACCAATTTGTTCAGAACCACAAAAACTTTCCGTACAATTACAACAAACACAACAATTGACGGAAGAATTTGTCGCACATAGTCCAATGTTGAATAAAATTGATAAATTTGCCGATTCACTTATGGAACGTTTAGATCGTACTGATCAACAATTTCGTTCGATACAAGAAAAACAACAAACAATTCATGATAAATGGAATAAATTAACAAATATTCTAGCTGAACGTGAAAAAAATTTATTGGCAGTTAAAGATGCAGCAAATGAATTTCAAAATAAATATGATCGTTTAATGGCTGCATTGCATAAAATTTCCGATGATTTTTCCAATATTGTTGATTCGGGTGCTGATGGTGATGAACAACTGTTGAAATTATCACATTTAGAAGAATCATTAGAATCACAACGACCAAATTTGGCTGATTGTGATCGTTCATGTCAAAAACTTTGTGAATTACTTACGGATAATGGATCGAAAAATGAAGTACGCGGAAGGGTTGATGGATTGAGAAAATTTTACGATGATTTAAGCCAAAAAATTAGCGATAAAAAAGCTGAACTGCAATCATCATTGAAAGCGGATAAAGATTTCTTTTTCAATTGTAATGCCATTCAAGATTGGTTACGTACTATGCAAAATAAATTATTAAAAGAATTTAAAGTATCAGCTATACATGAAAAATTACTTAAACAAGTTGATCAATTTGAACCACTTTATCGTGAATGTTTGGATAAAGAACATGAAATTCATATTCTTATACAAAAAGGTGAAGAATTACAACGACAATTTAGTCGACCAAATGATCAAAATCAAATACAAATGAAAATGGATCAAATGAAACGACAATATAATCAATTGAAAACAGAAGCAACTGCACAGCATACAAAATTACAAAAATGTTTAGATATTAGTACAAAATATCGTGATGCATTGAATGCTTTTCTACCATGGTTATCACAAGCTGAAAATCGTTTGGAACAATTTGTAGGTCTGGTATTGACTAAACAACAAATGGAAAAAATGATGCGCGATATTCAGGTAAGAAAAATTCTGAATGTTTTTTGATTTTTCATTATTTTTTGTTTGTTTCACAATAATACAGGTTCTTAAAAATGACATTTCACGACACAATCAAGATTTTGAAACAATCTGTTCATTGGGTGAAAATCTTATTCAAACAGCCGATATTGATACGGAAGTTATTCGTGAACAATTAAATGAATTGAAAAAACGTTGGAATAATTTACAACGTAATGTTGATAATAAACTTCAAGAAATTGAAAATTTATTACAAAAATTAAATAATTATGATGATAAATCAAGAGATTTAAATCAAGGTTTGAATCGTTTGGATGATAAACTTAAACAATTGAATGATAAAGATCCAAAACAATTGGAAAAACTTGAATCATTAATGGATGATTCGAAAAAATTGGCAGATGATTTAGATCAATTGAAAAAAATTGGTAATAAAATTATTGATGATGCTGGTCCGGATGCTGATTCAAAACCAATTCGTGATGATTTGAAAAATTTTGATGATCGTTATAATACATTGAATAATAATCTGGCTGATAGACATCGTAATCTTCAAAAAGTATCAGGTGCTATGCAAAAATTCAATGAAGATCTATCAGCATTACAAAAAGATTTATCAGCATTGGATGAACGATTGGATAAAATGTCACCAATTGGTAGAAAAATTCCTGTCGTACAAATGCAAATTGAAGAAATGAAAGAATTTAATATAAAATTATCAAAAGTTTATAATAATCTTCGTCAAGCTGATCAAACATGTGATGATTTAATTGCAAAAGGATTTGCTATCGATCCTATTGGTATTCGTAATCAATTAGATAATTTACATCGAAAATATGAACGAATTAAAGAACGTAGTGATAATCGTTTAGAAAATCTTCAGGATATTTTAAATCAATTAAAACAATTTAATGATCATATGAATCAAAATATGAAAAATATTAAAGATTTATTGAAAGAAATTGATAATTTTCGTCCGATTAGTCGTGATGTTGAAACAATCAGACAACAGCAAAAAGAATTACAAATGTTTGTAAAGAATCGTTTAGAACCATTAAAACAACAAATTGATGAAGTAAATCGACAAGGTAATGATCTGATACAATCAGCATCACATGGTGTTGATGTTAGCCAAGTGGAAAATGATTTGGAAAAACAAAATGAAACATGGAATAATTTGAAAGCAAAAGTACAGGAACGAGAAAAAAATTTGGAAGCTGCTTTTCTACAAGCCGGTAGATTTGAAGATGCATTGCGTAATGTTGAAAAATGGCTTACTGAAACTGAAGAAATAATGGCTAAACAAAAACCACCATCATCGGATTATGTTGCGCTAAAAGCACAGATTCAAGAACAAAAATATTTGAAAAAAACATTAACCGATCGTCAAGAAAGTATTGATAATCTACAAGAACTTGGTCGTGCATTAATGTTAAATGTTGATCGAATGGAACGAAATCAAATTGAAAAACAATTAGCCGATGTTAATCGTCGTTTTAATCGTCTGCTTGATTTATGTAATGAACGAATGAAAATTCTTGATGAAATTTTACCATTAGCAAAAGAATTTTCCGAAAAAATTGTTCCATTACAAGAATGGCTTGAATCAAGTGTACGAAAATTAACAACATTGCAAGCATTTTCAATCGAACCAAATAAATTAAATCGACGTATCAGTGAACATCAATCATTTCATCAGGATGTTATTAGTAGACAAAAAGATTTTAAAAATCTATCCAATATTGCACAACGTTTAATTCATTTAATTCGTTCGGATGATGAAGGAAAATTAATTGCCGATAAATTATCGGAAGTTATTGAAAAATATGCAAAATTAGTTGAAGATAGTGATGATCTACAGAAAACATTACATAATGCATCCATACAAATTGAAAAATTTTTAAATGATTTTGATAAACATTCAAAATGGATTACAGATTTCGAAACACGTATGCAAAAACATAAAATTCTTAATGTTCAATTGGATAAACTTAAAGATCAATTGAATGATTTGGAAATAATCGATCGTAATATACAATCATATGAACGTGAAATTAATGAATTCATACATAATGGTCAACAATTAGCAAAACAATATTCAACAAATGATTCAATGTTTATCAGGCAAAAAGTTGAAATGATTCAAAATAAATTCAATGATTTACGACAAATTGTTAATGATAAATTGGAACAAATTCGTTTGGCAATGAATTTGGCACAAAAATTCTATTCCAATTTAGATGAATTAAATGAATGGATGAATATGGCTGAAAATCGTTTGAATCAATTAGATTCATTACCAATTGTACAACAAAATGAAATTATTGATAATTTAGAATCTGAAATTCAATCAAAACGTCGATTATTAGATTCCATTAATAATTTAGGTACGGAATTTGCACGTACAAGTCCTGGACAAGGTTCATCCATTATAAATGGTTTAATTTCAAAATGTAATAAACGTTTTGATTCAATTGTTGATCAATTACAACGTAAAAGTGAAAAATTACGTTTAATACGTGAACAAAATGAAGCATTAAATATTGATATTGATGAATTGTTTGATTGGTTTCGTGATGCTGAACGACAATTATTGGAATCTGAACCGATTACATCAAATTTAGATCAATTATTAATATTATTACGTGAAACAAAATCATTGAATGATGATATTAATCAACAAAAATTACGTGTACGTGAAATTGTTAACAAAGTGAAAAAATTGATGCGTGATTCAACTATGGTTAATGATGAACTGATAAATATTGATCATAAAACAGATGAACTGAAAGATTTAGCCAATAATGTTTCACAATTATGTCAAGATCGTTTACAACAAATTGAACATACAATACCATTGGTTGAACATTTTTTCGATACACATTCAGAAATTCAACAATTTTTAGATGAAATTGAAACAGAAGTTCAAATGTTATTACAACCATCAATTTATGTTGAACAAATACGTAAACAACAAGAAACAACAAAACGTTTGATACAATCATTGAAATCAAATAAATCATTATTCGAAAGATTGAATAAAACTGGTGATGAATTGATTGAAATGTTGCAGAAAAAATCTGATATTCAACAAATAAAACAAATTATGTCCGATGATAATGATCGTTATAATCGTTTGAAAAATTTATTACGACAACGACAACAAGATTTAGAAAATGCTCTGCAACAAACATCATTGTTTGCTGATAAATTGGATGGTATGTTGAATGCATTAAACAATACAGCTGATCAATTGAAAAATGCTGAACCAATATCGGCACATGTTCCGAAAATTCAAGAACAAATTGGTGATAATAATGCTATATTGGATGATTTGAAAAAACGTGAAGATGCATTTAATGCAGTAAAAAATAATGCAAAAGAAATTATTGGTAAAGCTGGCCGATCGGATGAACCAGCCATACGTGATATTAAAAATAAATTAGATCGTTTGAATGATCTTTGGAATGATATTAATCGTATGGCAAATGAACGTGGTGATTGTTTGGATGATGCATTAAAATTAGCTAAACAATTTTGGAATGAATTGAATGATGTAATGCGTGCAATTAAAGATTTAGAAGATCAATTGGAATCACAAGAACCGCCTGCAGTTGAACCGGAAAAAATTCAACGACAACAATCATTACTTTCGGAAATTAAACATGATATGGATCGTACACGGCCACGTTTAGAACAATGTAAACAAGTTGGTAAAAATTTGATTAAAGTTTGTGGTGAACCTGATCGTCCTGAAGTACGAAAACAAATGGAAGATTTGGATAGTGCATGGGATAATGTAACCAGTTTGTATGCAAAACGTGAAAAAAATCTAATCGATGCAATGGAAAAAGCAATGGAATTTCATGAAAAAATGAGAAATTTATTGAAATTTTTGGATGATGCTGAACAAAAATTTCAACAACTTGGTCCAATTGCAGCCGATATTGATCAGGTTAAAAAACAGATAAAAGAATTGAAAAATTTTAAAAATTGGGTCGATCCACATATGGTTGATGTTGAAACATTAAATCGTATGGCACATGAATTATTAGATCGTGTACCAAGTAATCAAGCAAAAGGTATACGTGAATCAATTAATGATATTAATAAACGATGGAAAATATTATTAAAATCAATTGGTGATCGACAAAGTGATTTAGATAATGCATTATTAAAATTAGGACAATTTCAACATTCATTAAATGAATTACTGGCATGGATTGATAAAATGGAAAAAATATTGGATGAAAGTGGTAGAATTTATGCTGATCCACAAGTTATTGAAGTTGAATTGGCAAAACATAAAGTATTATTGAATGATATTAATGCACATCAAACAAATGTTGATTCATTAAATCAAGTTGGCCGTCATTTAATTGATTCAGAAATTGGTTCGGAAAATGCCAGAAATACTAAGGCAAAATTAAATCATTTAAATCAACGTTGGAATCAATTGATTGATAAAGCTAATGGTCGAACGAATGAATTGGAAGAATGTTTACGAAAATCACAAATGCTTGCACAAGAAATTCAAGATATGCTTGCTTGGTTAAATGAAATGGATCAATTGATTAGTACATCAAAACCAGTTGGTGGTTTACCTGAAACCGCACGTGAACAATTGAATCGTTTTATGGAAATTTATAATGAATTAGATATGAATCGTCATAAAGTTGAAACATTATTACAAAATGGTAATGATTATGTATCGAAAGCAGTGGAAGGACAAGCTGTACATTTACAACAAAATCTTAAAAATTTACAAAATAAATGGGAAAATCTATTGAATCGTGCAAATGATCGAAAAATTAAATTAGAAATTGCATTGAAAGAAGCAACAGAATTTCATGAAGCATTACAAGAATTTGTTGATTGGTTAACATCGGCTGAAAAATATTTAGCATCATTACAACCGGTTAGTCGTGTATTGGAACATGTTTTGAAACAAATTGAAGAACATAAACAATTTCAAAAAGATATTGGTATACATCGTGAAACAATGTTGAATTTAGATAAAAAAGGAACACATCTAAAATATTTTAGCCAAAAACAAGATGTTATTTTGATAAAAAATCTATTATCAAGTGTACAATTACGTTGGGAAAAAGTATTGACAAAAACAGCTGAACGTGCTAGAAATTTGGATCATGGTTTTAAAGAAGCAAAAGAATTTCATGATTCATGGTCTGATCTGATAACATGGTTAGATGATGCTGAAAGAACATTAGATAGTATTGAACCAATGGGTAATAATCCTGATCTGATTAAACAAACATTATATCGTCATAAAGAATTTCAACGACAATTAGGTGGTAAACAATCAATGTATGATTCAACAATACGTTTTGGTAAAAGTTTAAAAGATAAAGCACCAAATGAAGATGGACCAATTTTACAGGATATGTTGGATGAATTGAAAAATAAATGGAATGCTGTTTGTCAAAAATCCGTTGATAAACAACGTAAACTTGAAGAAGCTTTGTTGTTTTCTGGTCAATTTAAAGATGCAATACAAGCATTGATTGAATGGCTGGAAAAAGCTAAACAAATATTAGCATTTGATCAACCTGTACATGGTGATTTGGATACTGTAAATCAATTACAAGATGATCATAGAAATTTTATTGATGATTTTAAATCACGTGAAAAAAATATGCAATTTGTACGGAAAACAGCTGCCGATTTGATGAAATCAGCAAATCCAGAAGATGCGCGACAAATCGGACGGCAAATGGAAATATTGGAAGAAAAATGGTTGGAAATTGAAAAAATGATGCAACAAAAACAACAACGTTTAGATGATGCATTGAAAATGGCAAATCAATTACATAAAGCTGTACATCAATTACTTGGTTGGCTATCGGATGCTGAACTTAAATTACGTTTTGCTGGTCCATTACCTGATAATGAAGATATTGTTCAACAACAAATTCGTGAACATGAAAATTTCATTCGTGAAATGCAACAAAAAGAATTGGAAAAAAATTCAACATTAAATTTAGCAAATGAAATATTACAATTATCACATCCAAATGCATTACCAGTAATAAAACATTGGATAACAATTATACAATCACGTTGGGATGAAGTTGAATCATGGGGTAAACAACGTGAAAAACGTCTAAATGATCAATTAAAATCAATGAAAGATGCATCAGAATTATTAAATGAATTAGATCAATGGTTATCAACAACTGAATCAAATCTAAATGAATTAGAAATACAACCATTACCCGAAGATATAATTGAATTGGAAAAATTAAATGATAATCATCAACGTTTAATTGATGATTTAAATGATAAAAAAGTTGATGTTGAATTTATAATAAAAACTTATTCATCGAAAAAACCACAATCATCATCGACAAAAGAACGAATATCATCTAAACAACGTTTGTATGGTTACAGTACAAAACAAGCACCGAAAACACAATTTGAACCAGAAATTAATAATCCAAAAGCTAATCATATGTTGGATAAATGGCATTCAGTTTGGCGTTTAGTATCCGATCGTATGAAACGTTTAAAAGATGGTTTAAATTATAATCGTGAAATGGAAAAAATGAAACATTTTGATTTTGATGAATGGCGTAAACGTTTTCTATTTTTTAATGATCATCGTAAAGCAAAATTATTAGATTTTTTTAAACGAATTGATCGTGATAATGATGGTCGTGTTAGTCGTTCAGAATTTATTGATGGTGTTTTACATTCACGTTTTGGAACGAATCGTTTAGAAATGGAAACTGTTGCCGATATATTCGATATAAATGGTGATCGTTTTATTGATCAAAAAGAATATTTGGATACATTAAGGCCAGATAAAGGTGATGGTGGTCAATCATCATCATCAGCAGCAGCAGCTGAATCAAAAAGTGAATCAGAAATGATACAGGATGAAGTTCAACGATTAGCTGATCAATGTACATGTATTGAACGTTATAAAGTATATCGTATTGGTGAAGGAAAATATAGGGTAAATAATTTTTTTGAAATGAATTTACAAAACTTTTAACTTTTTTTTCAAAATCATTCAGTTTGGTGATTCACAAAAACTTCGTTTAGTTCGTATATTACGTAGTACGGTTATGGTACGTGTTGGTGGTGGTTGGGTATCATTAAGTGATTTTCTTCTCAAACATGATCCATGTCGAGGTAAGCAAGCCCGAAAAAAAAATCTTCATTCAATGATGGTCTTGTTTAATTTTGTTTTTGAATTTTTTGATTTTGATTTTTTGATTTTGATTTTTTTTTTCGTTAAATTGCATGAATTTGATTGAAATTTCCCTTTCCTCATTGATTTGAAATGAATGAATGGCTTCGAATCTCCATTTAAAAAAAAATCCATATCCAAAACCAAAAGCCAAAGGTCGTACTAATGTAGAATTACGTGAACAATTTGTGCTTGCCGATAGTGTAAGAGGTCAATCAATGACACCATTTAAATCTAAATCGCCATTTCAATCAGATGGTTCAATAACGATGACTGGTCCAATTTCGAAGGTATTTTGTTATTTTTTTAAAAAAGAAACAACAAAGAAACTGTATTCTGTCCTTGTATTCTGTGTTTCTTTCATCTTAAATTTTCTTTTTCTTTTTTCAATTTGATTTGACCATCAAAAAATTGACCATGTGCTTATCTAATTAATCTTAACCAAACTTAAGCTTTTCTAACCACCATAACTTTGTTTCTTTCTTTCTTTCTTTAAAAAAAATTTCTTCTTATCCCATCCTTATTTGTGCTGCCAAATCAATTTTTTTAAAAAAAGATTGCTTTTTTGAATATTGTGGATGTTTACCGGTACAAACTACTACTAATAATATTCTACCATATGGTTTCATCTATCAACCACTTATATATGATAATAATTCAAAAATTCCTGTACCAAAAACAACAAATTTTTTGGTAAATCTTATATGTCTCAAAAATCTTTTTCTTTGTTTCCTTTTTTTCAACAACAATTCTTTATCGTTTTTCATTATTTTGTTTTCATGAATTTAATTTTTACGTTTTTTTTTTGTTAGATCCGAGAAAAAACCGAACGGAGTATGCCTATGTCTCAAACTTATCGTTATGGAGGATCTAGTGGTTTGATGGATGATCATGATGATCCAATACGATCACGTTCACGTACACGTTTAACTCGTAAGTCCTTGTTTGTTTGTTTGTTTTTTCCAATTTCAAATTGATTATTAAAAAATTTTCCATTTACTAAACGAATGTAGCAACGAATAGCCGACCAACAAGCCGTTCAGGATCAAATCATTCATCAAGTCAACCACCAAGTCGTACAGCAAGCGATATGTCAACCGGTAGTATTGAAGGTTATAAATTAGGATCAAGAAAAAAAAGTAGTGGCTTAAATGGTTCATCACCAATTGGTCGACCAACAACAACATCATCATTTAATCGTGCATCATCATTTACAAAACAATCATCACCAATTGGTCCACGATGGAATATTTAAATGAAAATCAAATCAAATGAACTTTCAAATGAAAACGAAACAAAATTCCAAATATTATGATTACGACGACGACAAATGACGACTATTTTTATGACACACAAACAACAACAACAACAAAAAACTAAAAAATGACAATACCTGATATGCAACTAATTCTAATTAACTAAAATAACCTAGTCTCTCTCTCTTTTTTTACTTACCATATTATAAATAACCGAAACATAAACATAACGACAAAACAGAGAATTCTACCGACTACCGACAATTTTGTATTAACCATAAATTTTTGATTGATGATATTTTTTTATATTTATTTTTTTTTATAAAAATGTTATTTGTTTTTAAATATAAGTAATAATAATAAAAATACAACCTATTCATCAGTATTAATACAGATGTTCCGATTATCCTAGAAATTTTTTGATATCTTGAATATCTTTTTTTAATATTTCAACCAAACTCATAATGCCACGATTTTCTTCATTTAAAAATTGTTGATATTCATTTATACTTGATTTATCGAATGATATTTTACTAATTAATGGATTTTGACATTGCATTTGCCGTAGCTGTGACATTAGTTCATTCAAACAGCCTTGAAATTTTGTCGGTACATTTAATTCGGCTTGAATAGCTTCAAGATCGGCACGTAATTTATCTTCTTCAGCTTGAATTGGCATTGTACGTTTACGTTGTACTTCTTGTGAAATCATTTTACGTAATACACGAAATGAAAGATTATCATGTTTACGACGACATTCTTCGAATTTTGCTTTAAATTGTGAAATATTACTTTCCAATGTTGAAACATTATCCATCATTTGTTTTAATCGAAGTTGTTGTTGATGAATTTCTTTTTCCTGTAATTTAAATCGATGATTTAAAGCTTTAAAACCGATAAGTGGTACCGGTATAAATCGTTGTGGATCAGGATTTTCTAATTTCGCTTGTTCCCATATTCGTTCATCAATACCTTTTGGTGGTACGCTTAGATAGGCTTCAATTTCTTGTTTTGATAATGAAGTAAATATAATTTCAATAAAACTATCGATAAAAATTTGATTTAATTGTTGTTTCGATTGTGGTTGATTAAAATGATTACGTAATTGAATATCGGGTATCATTTTTCCGCTGATATTTTCAGTGACCATAATCGCTATTAATGCTTTGTTATCGGGTAATATAGTTTTCAATTCAAGTTTTACCTGATGATTTTGACCGATAATTTGTTTAAAATTTTGTTCATATTGAACTAAATTTGTTCGCAATTGTTGTTCATCATTATATCGGATAAGGAAAAATAATTTTTCTTCCAAATTTTTTTCCTCCGAATAGGAAATTGTTTTGAAACGATTAAATGAATCAGTTTCATTCAATTCATATGGTATATTGAATGCCGAATAATATGCTTTACCAGTACCCCAAAATGCTTGTATCTGATTAAATAAACCAATAATATTATCACGTTCATCATTAAAAATTTTCGGCATAAATAATGATGTTAATGGAACATTTTGTTGTTGTTGTTGTTGCATTTGTTGTTGTTGCTGCTGCTGCAGTTGCTGTTGCTGTTGTTGTTGTTGAAATTGTTGTTGCATATTCATTCCAGGATTAGTGGCAAAATTAAAATTACCGGATGAAAAATTTGATTGAGCCATGATTATTATCAATCGATCCAATTCGATCAATCAAAATTCGAATGAATATCAAAATCACGTGTGAAACAAAACAAAAAAAAATGCTTCATAAACAACGTTACTGAAACAATTGGCGCTAATAATTTTTATCGCGCTCTCTTTTTTTGTTTGTTCATTGTGCTGCAGCCGGGTTATCAATTTTGCTCGTTTGATGAGTTTCAGTGTGTGTGTTTTTCATGCGTTCAGATTGAAAAATTTATTTTTAAAAAATTGAATTAAATCCTAAACAAAAATGGCAAAGGTTTGTTGGTTTTTCTTATCGATTTGTTTCAAATTGAATTAAATTCTGTCCAATTTTTTTCTTTTGATTCGAATTTTTTTTACGATATAGGCTCAAATTGTTAACATTGTTGTTCTTGGTAAGTGTGTTTTGTTGTTTGAATCGTTTAATTTTGAATTGATTTTTTTGTTTTGATTTGTTTAATTAAATCAGATAATCCATCATTATTTTTTAATCCATTTCAATTTGAAATAACATTCGAATGTATTGAAGATTTAAAAGATGATCTTGAATGGAAAATTATTTATGTTGGTTCAGCTGAAAGTGAAGAATATGATCAAGTTTTAGATACAGTATTTGTTGGTCCTGTACCCGAAGGTCGACATATGTTTGTTTTTCAAGCAAATTCACCGGATTCATCCAAAATACCGGTTGCCGATGCTGTTGGTGTTACAGTAGTATTATTAACATGTTCATATCGTAATAAAGAATTTGTACGTGTTGGTTATTATGTTAATAATGAATATATGAATCCAGAATTACGTGAAAATCCACCATCCGTACCACAATTTGATAAACTTCAACGTAATATTTTAGCTACTGATCCACGTATAACTAAATTTAAAATCGATTGGGGTGATGATGATGATAATGAAGAAATTGGTAATGGTGGTAATAGTGAAAATAATTCCATTGAAAGATGTCCAACAACAACAAATGGTACATATAGAACAATGATGGAAAAATGTGGTTTTATTGAACCAACAAATGGTGGTAGTATTGGTGGTGGTGTTTTTGGTGATACAATTACATCTGCCAAAAACAACAACATTAACAATGATATAAATAATTCAAATTGTTTTATTTCTGAAGATAGTATTGGTCCATTGAATCCGGTTTCATTACCACAACAGCAACCGCAACAACAACTACAGGATGATAATCAAATGGAAATGTGATTTAGTTTCATTCTTTTTTTTATTTAAAAAAAATGTCAACAAAAAACATTTAAAATATCATTTTTTAAAATATTTGTAAATAAAATTCAATTAATCATTTTTAAATTTAAATAATAAAATCTTATTATTAGCTGGCATATCGAATGTTTGATCTAGAATTAATCCATTTTGTTCAGCTAATTTTTCTAATTCACAAATATCTCGTATACCCCATTCTTGATTACGTTGTCGTAATGATTGATCAAAATCACGATTACTTTGTGGTTCTAATTTACCATTCAATGCAAATGGTCCATACATTATTAATAAACCATTTGGTTTTTTTAAACAATATTTTGCACCTGTAAATAAACCAATCGAACATGACCATGGACTAATATGAACAACATTACTACAATAAATAATATCATATGAATTGGGCTGGATTGGCCATTGTTCAATCGATGATGTTAAATCAACTTCGATTGGTTTACAAATATTTTTCAATGGTTTTTCCGGTGGTTCAAAACCTAAACCTTGACGAAATGCTTCAATTGAATCGAATAAATTAGATGTACCAATATCGGATGGTTGAAATTCAATATTGGGAAAATTTCTGGCAAAATGTGCTAAATGTTGTCCTGAACAACTTCCTATCATTAACGATGTAAAACGGAAAACAAAAATTAATTTTAAAAAAAAATTTTTTTTGGGTACAAACCAATTTCAAGAAATTTTAACAACATCGATGATGATTTACCATCATCGCCATTATCATCATCATCTGATGATGATAATTTATAATCAAAACGTTGTTGAAATATTTGTTTCAAAACATTCAATATTGGTTCTTTATTACGTTCAGGTATTGCATAAATTGTTGGTCGTAAAATTTTTGATGCCATTTTTTTTTAAGTTCGAATGGATGATTCCACAATATGTATTTTAAAAAAATGATACAGATAATTTTCATTCGATGTGGTTATCAAGTTTTTCATTTATCACTTGCATCGTATGAAAATATATTGATAAAGAAAGAAAATGATACGAAATTCAAATTGTTGTTGCCAAAAAAATTGATTCGATTATAAGATTAGCAAACAAACAAACAAACAAACAACAATCGACGATAATTTATTCTTAATGTTCATAATATTGTGGTCGAATTTGTTTAATTTGTTTAATTTTTTGTTTTTTAATTTTGTTTTTTTTTCAATATTTTAAATTTTTCGTTTTTCGTCGGTAAAAAACATCGAAAAAAAAGAAAATGCCAAGACGTTCAGCATCAGCCATATTGTCCCGTAGAAGTCATTTATCATCAATATCGAATGGAAAATTATCATCATCAATGAATTTAAGTAAAAATCGTATGATATCATCGATAGGAAAATCAAAACGTAAAAGACAAACTGGTAGAAAAAAAAGTATTGTAGGACGAGGTCGACGACGACGAGGACGACAACCAACAACATCCCGATTAACAACAACAATGAGTAAACGAATGATGATGTCAACCAAACGTAAAGGTAGAGGTCGACCAAAAAAATCTAAAATTTCAACTTCAGGTAAACGAAAAAGACGTTCAATTACGGCAAAATATTCCAGGATATTTGGAAAAAGTAAAACAAGTCAATATAATAGTTTAGATAGTTCACCAAGTAGTTTATATGAATCACCAGTTATAATGACTAAAACGATAACAAAATTATCAAAAAGACGTGGTGGTGGTGGTAGAGGAAGAAAAAAACAAACAACATCCAAAATTTCAACAGGTAGTCGTTTGAAAATAAAAATAAAAACAGCTACAGGTAAATCACGTAGAAAACGTTCGGCAAAAAAAAGACAACAACCATCACAAACAACAACAACAACACGACGAAGAAAATCATCATCATTATCATTATCATCGTTATCAAAAATTAATGGTCGTACTCGTGGTCGTAGTCAAAGTAGAACTGGATCATCAATTAAAACTCGTAAAACACGTAGTGCAGGTGGTGGTGGTCGCATTCAAAGTAGAACCGGATCATCAATTAAAACTCGTAAAACACGTAGTGCTGGTGGTGGTGGTGTTCGTAGTCGTAGTCAAAGTAGAACTGGATCATTAATTAAAACACGTAAAACACATGGTGGTAATCGTGTTGGTTTTAAATATTTTCTTAGTCCAAAAATGATTAAAATGATGAAAGAAATTGAAGAAATGGAATCATCACCACCATCATCATCAGATGAAGATGGTGATGGTTATGTTGAACAAGATGGTGGTTCAACAACATCCATAATGAGTATTTCTGGACGAAGAGGAAAAGGAAGAAAAGGAGGAGGTAGTAAAAGTCGTCGTAATGTTAGTGGTGGTAGTAGTACAATGATAAATCGTAGTAATTCATTTTTATTATATAAATTACCACCAGAAGAACGTGAACAATTATTTCAAATGGCTGATGAATTAATTAATGATTCATTTATTGATGATAGTAATGAAAGTAATGATAGTAGTAGTAATGATGATAATGATATTGATCAATTATTTTCCGAATTAAATGCTGCATTACCAAAATTATTTGGAAATCAGAATAATAATAATAAAAAGAAAAAGAATAATAAAAACAACAACAACAATAATAATAGTAGTAATAATAATGGTAATTCGAGAAAAAATAATAACAAAAGCAGCAAGAGCAATAGTGATATTTCAATCGGTAATGGTAATGGTAGTAATCGTCGTCGTAGTCGAACATCAAAATCATTATTATCGAATCAAAAAAGTGGTGTAAAAAATTCGTTAAAATAAGAAGAAAATAATGAGAGACGATGATGGATGGAGGGGGTTAATCAATCTATTTATTTTATTCATTTTCTTTTCTTTTTTGATTAAAAACATTAAAGTCTGAATTAATTTCTTTAAAAAAACGAAACAAAAAACAAAATCAATTTTGTTTCGATGATTTAGCTAATTGTTCAATACGTTCACAAGCCAAATCTTTTGCTTGACTTGTTCGAATTCTTTGACCAATTCGTTTGAGTCGTTCACAAAGTTCATTATCATTAATTAATTTATCGATAGTATCGATTAATTGTTCATCAGTAAATTGATGTTGATCTAATCGACGACCAAAATTTTTTTCCTGTACACGTTGTGCATTATTATATTGATCATAAAACAAAGGGATAACGATCATTGGTTTACCAAAATAAACAGTTTCGGTTAATGTATTATTACCACCATGAAAAATAACCAGATCAACTAATGGTAAAATTTTTGTTTGTGGTACATATGGACCACCCCACATATTATCCGATAATTCATATTGATCATATAATGGTCCCATTGATACAAGATAATAATATGGTGTTTTGGATAAAACACGAACAAAACGTTTCATTAGTTCTAAATTACAAGAACCCATTGAACCCATTGATAAGAATATTAATTTATCGCCTGGTTTCATTTGTTTACGAATTTTATCCGGTAATTCAAATGGTTCTGGATCATCACGTACAAATGCATCAACACGTTGATAATGTTCAGGTAATTTTATCGTATCATCATAATCTAATTCTTTTGGAAATTGATAGATATTCAATAATGGTGAACGTGGGAAAAAAACCTGATCTTTTGGCGGTGGATAGCCAAATTTTTCGCAAATTTCACGTTGTCGTGCAACAACTTTATCAAAATATTTTTGATGTAATATTTGACGATATTCTTGCCATTCTTTTCGATCACCATCGATTGGTAAATCGGATGAAAATGGTGGTAAACGTTCATCAGTAAAAAGACCTAATGGATTTGCACAGAATACATAAACCCATGGTATTGATGAATTCATTATACATGGTGACATAATTTTTGCATCAACTAAAAATATATCTGGTTTTTCTTGTTCAATCAACATTCGGATTTGTGGTTCGAATGCTTCAGCATTTGCACCAAGATTTCTTATGAATTTACTATCAATCATACGATGAATTTTTTCAATCGGTTTGATTGGATCAAACAAACCCATCCGGATAAAACTATTGATTAGAATTTGTATTGGTTGAAGATTTTTTTCATTTTCATCTGGTTCTTCATCGGCAACCGGTTTTAAGCCCAAAATTTTAAATTGATTTGAATATGGTTGAAATTTTTTTAAAAAATTTTCATTCACCAAAAATATTACTTGATGACCACGTTGTACAAGTTGTTGACCAAGACCAATACAGGCATTTTGTGGCCCAACCAAATCCATAACATGAATAAAGATTTTCATTTTTGAAATTTTTTTTTTCTTTAAACTTGCAAACAAAGAAAAACTGAAGAAGAAGAAACGAATATTTTCACCAATTTAAAATGAAAGAAATGATGATCATCATCCTTGAAGCAGATATATTTATAGTGAAAATCAATCAATCAATCAATCAAAATCAAAATCAGTGAATTTAATTTCAAAAAAAACAAGTTCAAAGTTCTGTTTTTCTGTGTTTTTTTTTTGTGTTGTCGGGGTACACAAATAACCAAAATTAAATTATCATTCAAAAAATAGAAAATGGTGATTTAAAAGGAAAACAACAACAGGCAACAACAACAACAACTTTGAACTACGAGAACAACGAAATACCCAAACGAAAAAGCAATGTTTTATCATCAGTGCATCACAACAACGGCGACGATGATAATTATCATCAATTTGTTGATGGTAATTGTAATGATCGAAACAAATTCAAATAATGATAATAAAAAAAAAATTGATTTAATGGAAATGGAATCATATTTACCAAAAGAATCATTTGATAGTTTTGATCCGGATATTTTATTAAGACGATCAAATCATTCGATTTATGTACAATATATATCGACAATGACAACAACAATTATGATTGATATGAATGAAAATCAATTATCATCATCATCATCATCATCATCATCATCATTGATTATAAATCGTATGTTAATATTAAAACAAATTGAACGTACAACAAATGATACATCAATACAATTATATGATAGATTATTATTTGAAAAATTAACAATAAAATGTCAAATATTAGAAAATTTACGTTCAACATCGTTATTTAGTTTAGCATTACCAATACGATTATTGAACAAAATATGGGAAGAAACGAAAAATCGTTTAATATTTGGTTCATTTTTATTTACAAAAAAACGTAATTTTTGTTTTTTTTTCATTTCATTTTGATTTTAGAAAGGAAAAATTGATTTTTTAACGTTTTCTTTATCTCCAATACAAAAATATAGAACTAAGAGCAGTACCAACAAGTGATGGACAAATCAGACAATATTGGTTGAAAGATTTTCAAAAAATTGATGATAATATTGCATTGAAAACAAATGGCCGTATACGAATGTTTGAAGATGAATTATCATTTCGTGCAGTTGAATATAATGATTCAGGTATTTATACCTGTGCAGATATTTCCAATATAAATGGTGTACGTTTTTTACATTTTCGTTTATTTGTACGTTCGTATAATAGTAATTGGTTAGAAATATCTAATCCAATTGCTGTTATGAAAGTAACATTATTATTTACAATATTATGTATAATATTACCATGGATATTATATCGTTATCAAAATTTTGATAGAAAATTAATAAGAAAATATTATGTTGAAATGAAAGTAACCAAATCAATGTTAAGAAGAGAGAAAAGATTGATTGAATATTGATTTTTGGATTCGGAACTTATAAAAAAATAAATAAAATCTTTTGTTTTGATTAAATGAATTTCATTCATTATCATCATCATCATTATCGGTTGTATCCGAATCATCCGATTCTGAATCGGAATGGTTATTTTGATCATTTTTATGATTTGAATTCATTTGAATATCATGATCACTATCATCATCAGCATTTTCGAACATTATTTCATCATTATCGGCTTTTGCATCGGTAAATTCTTTTGGCCTGTTTGAAAATCAAAGGAAAAGGAAAAAATCAATTAAATTTGCATAAACAGAGAAATACATGAACACCCAATTACCATTTATTTTGTTGTTTTAGATAACGAATATGATCTTTTAAAAGAATTGAATGAATTTCTGCACGAACTTTATTACCTTCTTCGATTGGTGTAACAATGAGGAAATCACCACGTTTAATCCAAACTGAACGACGAAATTTTGTTGGCATAGATACTAGATATTGTTCACCATCAATTTGACGAACTTCATGTAGATTATTACCACAACCACGTAATACTTGAACAATTTGTTCACCTGGATCGGGTAAATGATAAAAATCATTTAATTCACGTGCAACATGTTTTTTTTTCGTTGCTTCTGTCATAATTTTTTTTCTTTTTAGATTCTAGCGTTTTTTTTGGCTGAAAACAAATTCACTGGTCGATTGATGAAAATCTTAAATCATTTTTTTCAGATGAAATCGAAGCAAAAAAACTTTTTTCTGTTTTGATTTTACGAATCGAACAAAAACACACATGGAATAAAAAGATATAAAATCTCCATCAATAGATGGCGTTAGGAACTAACGATTTTTTTTTTCGAATACCGTTGATGTTGATGATGTTCGATTCGACAACTCAGCGTAACACCAAAAAAGCTAAAACTAAAACAAACCAAACTTAACCAAACGACGACGACGACGACGACATCATCAGTATCTTTTTTGCACTTTATCTTTTTCTTTATTGAGAGAGAGAGAGAGAGAATTTTTATTACTTTGCATTTTGTTTTCTTCATCATTTTTTTCTCACATCACACACATATCGACGAGACAAAGCCGGCCAAAGCCGCATATATGAATTGTAAAGAAGAAAAAAAGAAAAAAAACCAGCAGACAACCAACCACCATTCACAGGATCAATAAAGCCTGAATACCACCACCACCACCACCATTATTATTATCATCGTCGTCATCATCATCTTAAAAGTCTGACAACCTAGTTGAAAATCTTTTTCTGTCGAAAAAAACAAACCGAAGAACCTGAATCCCATCATTCATTCCACACACACTCAACGAAATCAAATAGTGGCCGATAGTAAAAAAAATTCGACCAAACCAAACAAAAAAAAAACAAAATAACAAGTGCAACTTTCACTTCGATACGTGGCAAATCATCATTATCATCATCATCAAGAAATTCGAATCCAGCAAAAAATTTCAATTTTTTTTTGCACTCAATTCGATGATATTTGATGGTTGTTGATCCACTGTTTGTTTGTGTTTGTCATCCATAACGTTCGAAAATCATCCAATTTCGAAGAGAGAGAGAAAAAGAAAAAGAATTTGATAAATTCGATTTGATCATCATCAATTTTGCTGTTCTGTTTTTTTTTTTTGTACAACATTCCAACATTTGGCCATAATCATCATTATCATTGTGTAAATTTTTTTTTTCTGCTTGTGTGGACAAAAATTTTTTTTTTCGTTGTTTTATTTTTCTCTGGATATTTCAAATTTCAAGTTTTTTTCGTTTTGTTTTGCTCATGTTGTTGTTTGAATTGCACAGGAAATAATTGAATTGTATCGTCGTCGTCATCATCATCATTATTATCATCATTTAGCCGATGTTATCAACATTTGGTGATGATAAATATTGTGTGTTGTTAATGTCATTGTGACAACAGTTTGACAACAGTGAAATAGGCATTCAAATCAGTTTGGAATTTTTTTTTTTGTCTTCCAATTTTTTTTTGTTTTCACTACTTGGATTAATTAAAACTATTGATTGATTGATTATGAAATTAATTGATTGGAATATTTAGATCAAAAAGCATTGATTGATCAGATAGAGCGAGAGAGAAAATAGGGAGATTTTTTATATAAAAAAAAAAATTCAGTAAAAACGAACAGGTAGGTGTCGAATTTCAATGTAATTCATTCGATTTATTCTTGGATTTTTTTCTTCTTAGAAAAACAGTAAAAATCATCAAAAATGTTGGATTTTTTAGCCATCTGTGTATTATTGTTAATTTTATTTACAATATTATTATTCTATTTAACACGTGAACAATCATATGAACAAGCATTAGAAGAACAAAGAAATAAACATGATGATTTATTGTTAACAAGTACAACAATCGCAACCAATTCAGGTGATAATAATAATGATAAAATTGGTGGCCGAAAAGATCGTACAAAAAAATTGAATTTAAATAAAAAATCAACAGCAGCAGCAGCAACAAATAAACAACAGCCACCTACTACTAATAAACAACAACAAACAAATGTTTTGAATAAACAAAAATCAACAAATGAAAAAAAATTTTCGACCATAACATCGATACCGGAAGAATCATCGAAAGAAACAAAAATTTTCAAACATGATGAAACAAAAAAATCGAAAGAAGTAAATGAATCGCCGATAATTACTTCTTCTTCAGCTGTTGTTACAGCTTCGGCTGCTATTTCGGTTGCGATACCTAAAAATGATGTTGATGATAAAGGTGATAAAGTTGTTGTTGATGGTGGTGATGATACCATCAACGAACAACGATCAATTAAAACAACTAATCATCATCAACAACAACAACAACAATCATCATCGATTAAAAATCAATCATCTGTCAAAATGAATCAAGATCATATTGATAGCATTATTAATAAATCGAATAATAATAATGTTATCGTTGGGAAAAAGAGTAAAAAATCTAATCATTCAAAAGGTATTCTTTTCTTAATGTTTTTTCTTTTAGTTTTTAATTAAAATTTAATTTCTTTTGTCTTTTTGTCGATAAAACAATATAGTTTCCCCAGATTTTAAAATGGATGATTTAATTGATATAATCCAATCATTTAACGAAGATGAAAAAATCAAATTTACAGAAATTTTTTTCAGTGACAATAATCATCCACAAACTAATATCTGGCAAACGGTATGTGATTTCTGAATTTTGATTTTTTTTGAAATAAATAAATTTTTTTCTATAATAATTCAATAGAAAAATGATAAAAATGAAAGTTTGCAAAAAAAATTGGCCGAAAAAGATGAAATAATTAATACGCATAAAATCAATCAAGAAAATAGTAAACGAAGATTTGATGCGTTGAATATGGAATTGAAATCAAGTAAAATGAAATTACAAAATGAATATCGTATGCGGCAAGATATTGAAATGCAGAAAAATAATTTGGCTCAACGTTTAGTGGATATGGAAAAAAATTATAAACAACAATTGGAAAAATTGATTGAAACTAATCGTAATGTACGACAAGAGGAATTTGCTCGACATAATCAAATCATTAACGATTTGAAAAATGAAATAAATAAATCAAAGATTCAATTAATGGAAAAAGAAAAACTTTTGGCCGAAATGAATAAAACAATTGAAATGAATCAAAAAAATTTGGAAAATTTACAAAAAGAGCTTGAAAATGTTAAACGAAATAATGAAGAAAATTTAAAAAATTTAACCGAAAAATATCAAAATGAAATTGGTTATTTAAAGGAAGATCATTCGAAAAGCAATGATATTTTAAATGAAAACAAACAACAAAAAGTTCAAATTGAACAATTGAAACAATCGTTAAAAATGGCAGAAGAAAATCTTTCCCAAATATCAGCATTGAATAATAGTGATGATGGCCAACAAAAAACGATTGAAGATTTGAAAAAAATCAATGAAAATCAAAAAGAATTGTTGATCAAAATTGCCTCAATATTGCAAATCAAATATGATGAAAATGCTGATGTTACAAACAGTGATCAATTTTCTAATTCAATTGATGAATTAAAAAAAGCAAAAGAAGAATTACAATCAAACAATAATGTTAAAGAAAAATTATTGAAAGACATTGCCTCGATACTTCAAATCAAATGTGATGATATCAATACTTTGAGCAGTGATCTGGTTTCGAAAACAATGGATGAATTGAAAACATCCAATGGAGATGATCTGAAGAAATTAAAAGATGAAAATGAACAGCTCGAAAAAAAATTGAAAGAATCAATTGAAAAATCGCAATCAGACATCGACATCGGTAAGAAAAAAGAACAACTTCTTAACGATATATTCTCGAAATTTGATGAAATTCCAAACAATGGTGATACGGTTTCGAATGAAAAATTATTGAAATCGATTGAAGATTTAAAAACGTCACAAAAAAAATATTCGGAATTGGAAGAGAAAGTGAAAAAATCTGTTGATGAAATACAACAATTACAAAAAGAATTGCTCGCATCAAAAGATTTGGTTAAAGAATTGCAATCAAAAATCGATAGTGGTAAGAAAAAAGAACAATTTATCGATAATATATTCTCGAAATTTCCTGAAATCAAAAATGATGGCGATGATAATTCGTGTGATACATTGTTAGAAAATATTGAAACATTAAAAGCAACAGGTAAAGAATTGGAAGAAAAATTATCCAAATCAAATAAAGAGAAAGAAAAATTGCAAAAAGAAATTGATGATTTGAAACAAAAAATGCAAAAAGAAAATGATGATTTACAACAAAAATTGAATAATATCGAACAAGAACGTGATCGATTTATGAATACATTGGCTGATACGGTATTTTGTTTTTGAATGATTAATATTTATTTTGAAATTTACAATTTTTTTTTGTTTTGTTTTAGGATAAAAAACTCAAAAAAGTTGAAGAAGATTTAACAGATGAAAAGAAAACTAAAAAAGAAGAGCTTGATAGATCCAAACAACAATTAACATCGGTTCAACAAAGTTTAAAAGAAAAAATGGATGAAAATGATAAATTGGAAAAGGATGCAAAAACTGTAAGTAATAAATTGTTTCAAAATTATTATCTTTGTTTTAACTGAATGAAATTTTGCTTTTTTAAAATAATAATTATAGACAAAAAATAAACTTGATGAAATTAATAAACAACTAAAAGATGAACAAGAAAAATATAAACGATTATTATTGGAAAATGAACAGAAAACAACAATATTGGAACAATTGGAAAAAGAATCAAAAGATTTGAAGAGAAAAAATGAAAAATTAAATGAATTAGTACAGATTGGTGTACGAACATATCAAGATGAAAATCAAAAAGTACAAGATCTTGAACAACGATTAGCTACATATAAATCAACAATGAATAATAATAGTAATGGTGATGATCAACATAATGTAACAGCTACCAATGGCAATTGAATAATTCATGTTGTTGTTGTTGTTGTACCAAAATCGTACCAAAACAAAACAAAACAAATCTAAATGGTGTGATAACTTTTTTTATTTTTTTTTTCACAATTTATTATCAAAATATTTTTTTTATAAAAAAAAAGTATATTATATTTATCAAGTTCATTTAAACTCTTCATCAGAATTTTTTTTTCTCTCTCTTAAATAATTCCTACAAACAAGAAAACAAAAAAAAACAAAAAAAAAGGTATGTAAGACACGTATGTTGAATAATATCTTTTTTAACATTTATTTTTTTGTTTCTGTTTTTCGAATCATACAAAATTGGTGAAATTCCGATGGTCACATTCAATCTGAATCAGCGGATTATACAAAATGTTGCAATGAACCATGAAATGTCCAGGCGATGATGGCTTATAAACATTTCATATTTAATCAAAAACAACAAAACAATTCAAAAACATTATTTATTTGAAATTATTATTATTATGATTTTTATATTTTTTATGGATTAATCTTTTTTTTTTCTTCCCACATTATTTGATATTCCAAAAACACACACAAACAATTTCATCATCAATTTGGCATCCACATCATCATCATCACCACACCACACCTCTTTAAGCCCCGGTTGTCAAGAATTTTATTTTCCCAAACAAAACAAGTAACAATTTTTTTTCTCCCCCTAATTTTTTCCATTCTTTAAATGTTTGTGAATTGATTGATGATAATGATGATAATTATTTTTCATTATAAAAATGGCCATATATATTTCTATAAACGAAAAAAACAAAAAAAAAATATCCAATATTTTATATTAAATGTTAAATATTTGTGTGTAATTAATTAATTAATTACCAATCGCATTTGGATTGCATTCTTTGGATGATTATTAATGATGATGGTGGTGGTTTGTAAAAGTAAATAAGGAAAAAAAATTGCAAGTTTTTCGGTTATTTGTCTGTTTGCATTGTTACCATTAGTGATTTGTTAAAAAAAACTGATAACGATAACCAAGAGCTGATATATAAATGATCCAGATGGCTCATTACAAATTACAAAAAAATAAAAATAAAAATTTATAAATCGTGTTTTGATGATTTGAAACAACCGAAGAAAACAAACAACCGAAAAAAATGGCCAATAAAAACATTTTTCTCAAATATGATGATCAAACTGTTGGTCGTCAACATTTATTAATGGTAGCCAGCGTAATAAGTTGTTTATTTGCAATAATATCAACATTATATATTGATAATAAATTTTATAATTACCTATTAATACCATTATATATTATAACAGCATTAATATCATTAATATCACCAATGATACAAAAAATTCGTTTATTATTATTTCTATCAATCATATTATTTATATTGGTTATTATTAAACTTTATATATCATCAACATCAATATCCAAATATCTGGATATTCGTGATAATTGTTTTAAAGATTATCATAATCAAAATTGTTTAATGGATAAAAATTGGCGTATTACAATGATAAATATGATTAATGGTTGTATATTGATGATTTTATCAACATTAATTGATAGTTTTAATTTTATTTCATTAATAACCATTTTAATTAGATGGTATTATTTATAAACAAAATAAAAAAATGATTTTACAAAATAAAAAATTATAAAATTATCTGATTTTACAATCAAGAAAAAGCATTCTGAAATTCTGAAATTCATTTAAAACCCATTTGACAACGAAAATGTTTTTGTAATGTTTGATTGGATTTTTGTCCTAATTTTACCGACCATTTTTGTCTTAAACGATCAATATATTGTTTATCTCGTATAAATTGTTGTCGTTGTTGATGGCTAATTAACTCATTCGAACTACCACTGCGAACATTCGAACAATTCCAACCACCACCACCACCACCAATCATACGATAACCATGTTTAATTCGATTCATTAATTCATGATTCGATTTTGATGTTGTCGCTACTAATTGTTGTTGCGATTGTGGACGTAATTTTTGTCGATAATAAATCATTAATGAACGATGTCCAATAATTTTACCCGATGGTAAACGTAGCTGATAATTATCATCATCCAATATATTTAAATCTATTTCATCATCATCATCTTGTTGCTGTTCGGTTTCGGTTTGTTTCGATGTCTGATCATCCATTGTTGTTGGATAACTTGATGAATAATCATAAAAATCTTCAAATTCTATTAATGATTCAGTACGATTATAGAAATTTATTTTTGTATGACCAACATCCAACATATGTTGTTGTGTTGATTTAGTTGATGAAAATGTTTTACCATTATCACTACACCAAAGACAACAATGTCCATCGGCAATTTTCGTACCAAGATAATTTAATAAACCTTTTAAATTTGAACAATATTCAATATCGGGAATAAAAAATGAATGTATTGTTGCCATATGTTGAATATTTGTTTCCATATCGATGGATTGATGTGAACAAAATAAACATTCATTCAAAGGAATTGTTTCGAATATTTCTTCTTCTTCATCATCATCATCACTATCCATTTCTTCCCAATCGGATTCATTGAATTCTTCTTCTTCATCTTTGTCATTTTGTTTTGGTTTTTTGTCATCATCAGCATTTGATTTCATTTTCTGTTGTTGTTTTTGATGTTGATATCGATTCAAAAGTCTAGCAGCAATATCCATTTGTCGTAAATGTTTATTACTTGAATTATGTTGTTCATATGCTTTTTGATTTAGAAAATTTTTTCGACATACATCACAATAAAATGATTCTTCAACCCCTTCTTTCTTCAATGGATCATTATTATCATTATTCGAAATTGTATGTTTAATTTTAATCTGATTAAATTCATCTTCATTTATTGATTTTAATTGATTTAATTTACGTTTCAAATTATAAAGATGCCATTCACTTTTATAATGTTCACGTTGATCATTTGATGTTGATAAATTTATCTGACAAGTTAAACAAGATAATCTATTCATTGTTTACCGAAGAATTTATTGAAAAACCGAGAAAAAATTGATTCAATTTTCAAGAAAAAATATTTTTCCGAATCAACGAAACGCGTGGCCTTTTTTTTGGTAACATCCTATTTGAACGGGAATGATCATCTTCCCAAAAAAGAATACATCCAACGATCAACGTAATCAAAAATAATTCAATTTTTTTTTTTTGGAAATTTAACCGGCTCCAAAGACCAAAAAAACAATGGTAAATCAAAAAATGATTAACTCTAATTGTAAATATCTTCCATTTTTCTGAATATAGGAAACGAAAAATTTTCTCAAAAATTTACCAGTATTTAATAAGGAAAATTTTTCCAAAATCAATACCCGTACAATGAAAAAATCATCAAATTCATTTCAATCAATTTCATCAACAAAAATTCATTCGATTAATGATGAATCATTGGAAAGTAAGTAAATTGTTCGATCGATCGATTGATCATATGATTAATCAATTTTGTTTTTTTGTTTTTCTTTTAACTTTTCGAAAACAAAAGTACGCGAACCTGAATACAATATATTAATAGATTTTCTTAAAAATCATTGTCATAAAGAATCATCCAATGATGATCAAAATAATAAAACAATAACAACAAAACGTTCATCATTACCCACAACTATAAATAATTTGGAACAGAAAAAATCACGTCGTTTAATAAATTGATTTTTTAAAAAGAAAAAATTTATTCAAGTTTTTTTATTTCATTTTTTTTCAACAAATTCCAAATCGAGTTGTTGACTATTTGATTTCGGTTCGTTTCTGATTTTAAATAATCGATAACTCTCTTTATTTTTTCTGCACTGGAAAAACGAACAGATTCATCGGCAGAAAAATAAAATATCGTTCTTGTTGATAGACTCAGACAAATTATCGAAATTATACAAAAAAAAAAAAAAAAAAAAAAAAAAATGATATGATTATGAAAATCAAAAAAAAATGAAAAGATTATATTTAAAAATGGATGACGATAATATGG